ATAAGTGTTGTAGAGAGACCAGAGGAGGGACAGGTTTTTTTCTGCCTGTGGGGCAGGATGGGCTCTAAAGGGATGCTTGAGGGGATTTCTATAATCAGAGAAGTGGGAATTCAGGGCAGGCCAACCATCATCCTTTTCCTTGGCCCCTTCCAAGCCCCCCAATCTGCTCCCCCAACTCTGCCTGCCAAACCTGGGGTGAAGGTACCTGTATTCTCAGTTCGTCTCTTCTCACCTCCCTGACCCCGCTCCAGGCTATTACCCACTGACTCTAATTAGAAAAAACAAGTCCACAGCTTTCTCCGCCTTGCCACCCACCCGCTTGATGCTGGTTCAGCTCAGCCGCTTCTGCCATCACCCTCCTGCTGAGAGGGGTACAGGGCCTCGGGGGGCCCAGTTCCTGCTCCTGCCCTGCTCTGGAGCTCTGCTCTTGGGCAGCAGTACTCACCTCTCCCAGTAAGTGAGGCTGAGGGGACTCAGCGTGGCCTCAGAGCACCAGCAAGCAGCTCTTAGGCTCCCACCGCCCACCTCCAGCCACCTGACTCACACCTTCCAGGATGGTGGCGGGTACGCCTGCCTACTGAAGCCTTCAAGCCCGCTCCTTGGCCATTTCCCGTCCTTCCCAGGCCAACCCAGACAGCCCAAGTCAACATGACAGCCCTGTCCTGAGAACTTGTGGAGAGGGGGCTTCCAGACAAACCTTGTCCCATCTGCCTGTGTGACCAGAGGTGAATCTTCCAGACTCTCTGACCTTAGTGTTCTCGTTTGAGAAACGGGGCTATGCCTGTCCTGCCCAGCATGGACTTCACGCGGCACAGAGCACCATCAGCCAGCCCTGATCGCCTTTGCTCCTCAAAGCCCCAGCGGGGAGGATGGGCTTCAAGCCTACTCCCCAGCGCGAAAGGCCATATCCCTCCCGTGGCCCCACTTACATCTCCCTTTTATCTAGGTGCCTGGACTCCTTTGAGGTCCATATGAGGACCACAAAAGTAGGCGACCTCTCCGGGACCCCGTGGTTCTGACCTCCATGGTCCTGTGACCCTAACACAGCCATGACCTTAGGGCTAAGCTCAGCCGTGCAGGGTGGTATGTGACCGTGGACAAGCCAGGGCACCCCGATGAGCCTGTTTCCTCCTCCAGGACATGGGAAATGTACCACCCGGCCCCACAGCTCCCAAGGCTGGTATAATCCACCAGACTGCCACAGAGAAGGTTGTGAAAATCCCAGACCTCCCTACAGCTGTGCTCCGGAGGCCTGGGCAGCTGGCACCATCGAGGGGCCAGCAAGCACAGAACCCAAGAACTAGGGCAGACCTGCTCTGTGTTTCTACAGACTGAAGGCAGCTATCTCCCCCTCCTTCTCCTTCCTCACCCTGCCCACGGCCAGCCACACCCGCAGGCCTCCCAAGCCACCCCGAGCAGCACCAGGGGTTTCTGGGCAAGCCTCCCTAGAACCTGGATCCAGCCCAGGGCCCGTGCCTGGAGTGTAGCCCACACCACACCTGCCCCTGCTCCCCGCCTCGGAGGCAAGCGGTGCCTCAAGTGGGACCAGGGAAAAGTGGGCCAAGGTTGCCCACTTACGCCCACCTCAGGCTGGGTCATTCACCGAGTCAGGAGCCTTGGGACCAGAAGGGGAGGAATGAACCTTGTTTTCCCCGGGGCCTTAACAGTCCTCTCCTCTCTGGGTAGATTTCCCAGCTATAAAGCGAGTCCTGAACCTGGACGTGGCTTCTCTCCTTCGCAAGGAGCCGGAGAGGGGCCGTGCTGCCCGAGTCCCTGCTCTACGCTAACGCCCCCCACCCCCTTCGCTTCCGGGCCTCCGTGTTGCCTCGCTGATCCCGCGCAGGTACTGCAAGCAGAGGGGTTCAGCGCAAACGTCTCGCCCGCAGAGGCCACTAGCCATTGGCTCTGGGCCTTCGCCACACACACACACACACACACACACACACACACACACACACACAGATACACGTGTCTGATGAAGGGTACAAACTGTAACAGGGAAGAAGGTCCCACCTGGAGTGGAGCCCGCCCCCCCCCCACTCACACGCGGCACGGGTGACCACGCGCGCGGGCACACCGCACAGACAGCCCCCCACGCACACCCCACGTGCCGGCACGCACGCACGCACGCACACCCGCGCGCCAACACGCTCGCACGCACACACGTACAGCCGCGCGCCGACACGCACGCGCGCACGCACAGCCCGACACAGCAGCACGCGCATGCGCACACACGCGGACAGAGGCGCGAGCACAACAAAGGAAGTGGAAGAAAAGTGTTACCCATGAGGAGCCGCCGTTTCACCCGCTTGTCCACATCAGCTACTGACGTGGCATTGAACTGAGAGCGCTCAATTGCAGCCTCATCCTTCTCTAAAACACAAGTAAGGGACAAACACGGAGCCGCTGGTTAATGACAGCCCACTTCCCGCGGCCCAAGACAGTCAGCCTCTCGGCGTGGCGCGCGCACAGCCAACACAGCTTGCCGGGCCGGGCGTCTGCGCCGAGGGGCGAACCCCGGGAGCCTCCAAGGTGGCGTGTTCGGGGCGGGAGGCAGAGGGGTGGGGGGTGCAGAGCGGGGGACGACCACACAGGGGCACAGGTGGGACCCAGGGCCCAGCTGCGAACAGACAGAGGTGGCGGCTGCGGTCAGAGTGGACAACCCAGCTGCGGGGTGGGGCGTGGGGCACAGAAGCACACACACCACCTCAGCGCGCAGGGAGGCATCAGTGATTGCAGACGCCCCCCGCTCAGGCTGGGGAGGCAGGCACAGGACAAGGCACAGGACAAAGGGACAGGGCCACGAGGTCCGGTGATGGCTGTGCCTGGACAGCAGACGCCCTGTGTCAAGGGCAGGAAAGTGTGTCAAACACTCATGCAAAGTTAAGAACAACAGAGAACAAACACACACAACAATGGATCCAGTCGAACAGACAGAAAAAACGGGGGCTCGAGTTGGGCAGCGCTGGTTGCCTGCTTGTCTATAGAGGACTAGAGCGAGACATTCAAGTGCTTGACAAGGGGTTTGCACAGATGGGTCAGTCATTTTAGGAGCGTGCGGAGAGGCGGGCGGGCGGCCCGGGAGCATTCTGGCCGCTGGGCAAGACGTTTGGCCGAGATGCTGTCCGTGGAGGAGCAGGTGAGGTTAGCTGTTTGGCGGCCCTCTGCTCAGTGGAGACGTGCGCTCCCGAGGGGGGAACCTGAGCAGCAGTAAGCAGAGGCAGAAGGAAGGTTCTGGCCAGCAGAGGGCAATGGCCCAGGAGCTGGGTCTGGAAGAGGGTTTCTAAGGGGAAGGGAAGGGGGGAGGGGGTGAGGGAGGTTAGGTTAGAAAGTAGATCCAAGCAGGGACCTTCACATGCAGCAGACACTAAAAGATAAAAAAAAATGAGAAGGGACGAGTCAGGTGGACAAAGACAAGATGTGTTAGACGAGGCTGGGTGTGTGTCTGGCCGGCAGCTGTCTGCACCGGTCCCGTGGCCGGCAGGGGCGGCTGCACTGCAGACAAACAGCGAGGGAGACCCAGCAGACGAGACAGGAAGGGGCCGGTGGGCCTGGGAGGCCCCCGGCAGGACAGTGGAGACAGGGAGAGAGGTGGGAGAGGAGGTTCTAGATGGGATCAGGCTGCAATAGAGACACTGGCCTGAGACCAGGTTTTGCTTTGAAAAAAAAAAAAAAAAAAAAATTTTTTTTTTTTTGGTTGTTTGGTTTGGTTTGGCTTTTGGCTCTGAAAATAATTAATGAACGTCAGTTATCAGACAAGACAGGCAATCAGGGACCATCACCAGAAAAGCAGGAGGAATGAGATAAAATGAAACCAAAATGGCCGTCTGAGAGGAGACCACACAGAGGAAGGGGAGAACCACGCGGGCAGCAGCTCCCGGGACGACAGCCGGGACTAGGGTGAGACGCTGGTGGCCTGCCTGGGCCCTGGCACCCCCGCCCTGCTCCCTGAAGTACCAGGGAGCAGTCACAGGGACAGAATGCGACAGCAAACTCTGGTTTCACGGCTTTGCTTGCTTGCCACCCCTTTTTTGTTACTTGAAAGTCCCTCCAGAAATATCTTCAGAGTCGGTAATAAGAGATGGGGCCCCCCATTAAAAAGAATAAATATGGTCACTGACTGTGGGCTTCTGAAGTTGGCCGACATGGAAAAGAAAGAGAGCAGAGGATGAACAAAGTTGGATGGGTACCAACTTTGAAATTCTTTTTCTCAGTTGAAAGATCTGTTATTTTGAGTGGGTAAAGAAACTACTACTGATTATGGATTGAGGTAACCACAGATATTCTAGCTTCCTCCTGCAAATAAGGACCAGGAGGAAGGAGGTGACCAAAACTCAAATTGAGACTCCATGAGACAGGTGAGATGACAGAAGGGGCATCGCTGAGAAGGGACTCTAGCTGGAAGAAGAAGTCTGGTGAGAACCCCATTAGCTCAGGAGTGGAAAGCAGTTAAGAACACCCAGAGCCCCTTGGGATTCTTCCATCCAGTCTCCCCTGGTGTAGACTATGAAGACTTAAAGCCGCTTTCTGAGAAAACCTCTTGGTTTTCCAGACTGGCGGTCAGCTCATGTTGCTAATGGGGCTGATGTGCAGGTTAAATGGATGTGCCATGCGTCCCCAGATCGGGAAGAAATCCCTATGCTTTAAAAACGGAAGCTGCCCTCCTTAGGCGCACACCCCCTCCTCCTCCCCCACAGACCACCCCCCATGTTGAGGATGAGGACCCGCAGAAAACCCACAGTGACAGGAAGCAGAGATGCTTGGTCCGGGGTGGCTGGATGGCCCTGGATGAGTCTCTGTAGAAGGCTTCCCCGGGGGACGTCTGCCAGCCCCATTAGTACCGTGGGGTCCTCCTTTTCTTGTTCCCTTAACTTCCTTCTTGGAAACTGGGACATGGTGGGGTGGTGCTGGGGTGCTGGACAACCTCAGGGCTGCAGGGGGGCCCTGGGGGGAGGGAGGGTGGCGCAGGGTGCCAGCGCCTGGCAGAGCTGCGTACTTACCGATGCACGTCCGACCGTCTGAGTGGAGGGCGTACTTCTGGTGGCAGCCACACATGGGGCCCGTGTCCGTGTCTTCACAGCTGTGCTGGCAGCCTCCGTTTCCATAGTTACAGGTTACTAGTTAGGCCCAAAGTGTACATACGTGTGTATAAAAGGAATGACAACAAAGATGATTAGTTTATCGGTGTTGGTGGTTTCTCTTAAGGGGCAGGGAGCAAAGTGACGGCATACGATAATCAGTGAATAGGTGCACATTTCCCTGGACTTCAGCCCCTCCAGGGTCTCGGATGGAATGGCTCGCTCTCTAGATGGGAACTGGGATGAGAGGAGAATGGACCTGGGTCATGTGGGCTTCAGAAAGGGCTGGCACCCGCTGACAGACTCAGATGGCGTCAGGTGAAGAAAGGGATAGGATAGGCCATTTTCTCCCTCCTCTGTCCCAGAGACACTTAGAAACTGTCTTAATGGGACAAGTGTCTGTTAATGGCAGGCGTCCTCCACAAGGTGGGGGAGGGTGGCAGTGGGCCCGTGCTGAGGGGGACACTCATTCAGTTCTTGCATCACTTGCTCTTTTCTGCCTGGGTCTTGGGCACGTGGAAGGGTATCCCCGCAGAAGTCTAGTCTGTCCTCGTCCCAGCAGCCATCTCAATCTCTATCCCCTCAGAGCCCGGGTCCTCCCAAGGCAATGTCCAAACAGATGGAACCTGTGCAAATTAATGTCCGCTCATGTGCACTTTGGAAAATGACCTTTTATTTAAAGATGTTACATAGTTTGCAGTGTCTATGGCCTGGAGGAGCCGGCGCCCTGCAGCCCACAATCTTAAAATGTTTTACAGCATCAGCAACCTGGGTTGGCTGAAAGGGGGCTAAACAAAAAGGAGACAGTCTGAAGAAGGAAAAATGATAAATTCAGGTTTATTTAAAAGGAAACTACTCGTTACCACATTTTAGGGTGAGAGGTATTGCTAAAGGAGTTCCCAGATCTCTACGGGAGGGGTTCTTGCAGCCCCTACTTTACTCAGCTTGCAAGACGATCCTAAAGATGCTCAAAGATGCAAAAATAAATCTCAGACCAACCCAGTCGAAAATTCCGAATTGGCAGTTGGGATTAATGATGTTCTATCAGGTTGACCCATGAGTAGCGACCGGGTGGCAGCTCCTGGAGATGGATCCCAAGCATTCTGGAACTGAGTCCCGCAGCTGCCTCTCCCAGGTAGTACTCTCCCCAGGGGCACAGCACACGGCCTCCGGGGCGTCCGTCCCGAGTGATGGTGGTGGCCCTGTCAGCCTGGACACATGCCAGCTGAGGAGGGCATGAAGAGAGTGGTCCTGCTCAGTGTCCCCGACGCTGTCCTCGCAACCAGAGAGAGGCTCTACTGGGCTGCCTCTTCCACAGGGAGCTAACGTCCCATCCGCAGGAGGGGCCTGGCTTCCGGGACGACCTTTCAAGGACCTGCAGAACTGCTTCAGGATGCACAGCTCCCTCTGGCCCTTTCTCCAGAGGAGCATCTCTTCTCTCAGTTTTCCCGGGGAGCCCGGTGGCCTGCAGTCACATTCTCCCATCTCTGAAACAGCTTCTCTCTCTGCCTAGGAAGAGCCCTAGGGAAGCTAAGGGTAAAGACTGCCATGGATCTCAGGAGAGGGCAGAGCCCAGGCATAGCCCTGCCTTGGCCTGGGCATCATGTGCCTTTCCAGACCAAGAAAAGCCCCACTTCAGACTGGGCAGGGGTGGAGTGGTGAGGAGGCTGTGAGAACACTGCAGACAGTTCTTTCCAAGCTCTGGGCTCCTGGCAATGGGCCGTGTCCTGCAAGTGACTCTAAGGAGGATGCAGGGCTGTCTGAGGCAACCTGAGGGAGGGCCATGCTTAGGGTCCCACACCCCGCACACGGGGGTTTGTGCATCTCCTGGACCCCAAGGGCCGAGCTCGTGAGCACCTAGAGAGCCTCCGGCTTGTGCATGATAATAGTGCTGCTGAGCTCTGGGATGACCAAGAAAGGATGGAGAAGACCTCTGGCCCTGGAGTGGGTCCTGGACTCTGGAGAGTTGAAAGAGTTTGGTGCAGAGGCCCTGTTGTCCTGCCGGTCCACAGAGGCTGGCTAGGCCAGGCCTCAGCCCCCACCCCAAATCCAGATCTAGAACTTCCTAAACCTCAGCTGGCCTCTAGGGCTAGACGGAGAGCTGCAGAGCCAACATCACACGAACTCCATGTTGACCGCACGGCAGGAACCAAAGCTGACGGGAGGGACAGCTACCTGCGCAGTCCCTTCACAGGAGGGCTGCGGTGTGCTCACCCGCTCCTTGGCCCCGGGGTTGGTACCTGATTCTCCACACAGCTCGGAGATACCCAGCTGCCGAGCCGAGGGGGTGGGGCTGCCGTTTCTTTCACCAGCAAACATTCGGGGCAAGGGCTTAGTTCTTCTCTGTCGGGGGCGGTGGGGGGGCCTTGCTGCTCACAGAAAGCCCTGCCTTGTCCCTGACCTCTCAGATCAGGTTGGCGCCTTGGGAGATGTTCTCTGAGCAAACTGCCCCCTTGCAACACTCATCCCAGACGGGCCAGTCAGTCCCAGCCACTGCCTACACCCAGCTCAGGGCTTGGCCAGTCTTGCTGAGTGAAGGAACACTTTTTACTTGTGGCTGAGCCTGACAACAAGCCTGCCCACCCCACGCATGCTTGTCCTTGGCCGTTGTCCGGAGGACTGGGAAAGCTGGAGGTCTTCATTTTCTGTTCTGAAGGGTGCCAGGTGGCGGCAGGTTTCTCCGTAGCAACAGGAATCGTCTGATGTAGAGGACCAGAGGGCCTGGCTGGAGTCCTGGGGCTGGAGCTGGGCACTTGCCCGTGGTGACCGCTTACACGTTTATCTGTGTGATCCCACGGGAAAGCCCAGGAACAAAGAGGAAGGCTGCCTACATCTCAGAACATACCTGGCCAGAAGGAAGCATCTTCACTTTGGGGAGTGGACGGATCATGAGTGTGGGGGCTGGAGCATGAGCTCCGTGGAGACAGGGGCTGTGTCTAGTGCATGTGGGTCCCCAAGATCTTGGTGACTGAGGAGAGCATGGGTTGGGGAAGGTGTGGCAGGAGCCCAGAGGAAGCTGATGACAATCGAGACAATCAAAGAGCAAGGATGATGAGCCGGTGAGGCCCAGCTGTTTCTTCTCCACAGAATGAAGGATGGAAAGCACCTTTTCTTCGTGAGAGCTGGGCAGCCCAGTCTCTCATTTCAGGGGCGAGGTTGGGGCTGCTTTCTCTACTGGAAGTTGGATTCGGACTCCTCCACACCATTTCTCCGCATCAGAAAGCGGCCTGGAATGAAGTCCTTGTCTCTGGCCAGACGTGGGCAGGGCTCACACCGGTCTCCCTCAGCTCTTTATACGCATGAGCCAACCGGGCGCCAGGAAAGGTAGCCCAGCCGCCCAGTGAGCCGGGGCCGCCCCCCCGCCTCCCCACGCAGCTGCTGGGAGCTGGGTCTGAAGCTCTTAAGGACTGTGAGTGTGTTCAGCCCTGGTCCTACTCCGTTTGCTGGCTCCCACTCTTGGGGAGCTGGATGACCACATTAAGAGGGTGCCTAACACCCGAGCCCTGCAGGCTGACCTCCAGGCCGGTCCTGGATGGTACCTTTGGCCAGAGGCCTCATTCAACCCAGATCTCACGGGGCATCACCATTTACGGTGGGCCCTGCAGGGGCGGACTGTAAAGTTCTGATCTTTGATCCTGGAAATAAGGTCAGCACAGGCTGGGCTGGGGCTCCCCGTCCCCGCCCCAGCCCAGCTCCTTTCCTTTTTTCTACCACCCTGTTTTACCAAGGGCTGCCCTGCTCCGCCAGGAAGCCCGAGCTTATAGGCCTCTGTGCCTGCCACAGTCCTCCATACCCGCTGGAGAGTTCAGGCTCGGCCTATGGGGCTCTGGGGTTGGGGGTTAAGATAAGCACCGCAGGGCTGTTAGGCACGGTCCTGCTCTGGGGCTGTTGGTACTGGTATGCCAGGTTGGGCTAACGCCATGTCTGGAGTTCCCAGCCCCCGTCCCTCATGCCTCCCCAGGCTTCTTCGGGGACCTTGCCCTTTCTCCCCACCCCCAGGGGCTGAGAGACCTCCCTGGGCAACGTCCAGCAGACTGGACAGACCCCCTCCCCCGCCCCCTATAAAGCAAAGGCAGGAGACGCGTGGGGATGTCTGACCCATTTGTCTCCATCTACCTACGTGTGCAGTCCTTCTGGTTTTGGGCAAGGTCAAAGCCGGGCCTGCAGTCACAGGCCACCCCACCTTTGGGCGTCTCCCGGCAGATGTGGGCACAGCCGTGGTCTTTGTTCATGCAGTTCATACCCTCTGGGAAGAGACAGACGAGAGAGGGGTAGGGGACCGGGGGGAGGGAAGAGAGAGAACATTTCAGGCCGAAGAGAGGCGGCCCATAAAATGTCACCGTCAAACGCACTGTTCTTGGGCTGCTGTTAGCATGCACACCACCCCCCACGCCGGGGTGCACGCCTAGCCGTCCGCAGGGGGAGCTCTCGGGGAGAGGCCAAGGACGCCGTGCGCAGGTCTAGAACCAGGCCTCGCTCTGAGAAGAGCACTGTGAAGGACTCCAGGGGACCCACGGAAGAAGCGTCCCTGCCCTAGGTCAGCTCACAGAACCCAGTACAGCTCAGGGCCTTAGACCGTTTCCTCACCAGGGCAGGTGGGGGCAGCATGGGCACCTTTCCGGCTGCACAGGGATGGCCCGTGCCCCACGAAGGCAGGCGGAGACTTTGGTTTCAGGCTGGGCCCAGAGGGGAGCGCTGACGGGTCAGGGGCTGGGTGGGCGGGCAGCAGCCCTAAGCAAACGTGCCCTGGCGGGCCGCACTTGTTTCCTGGGAGGCCCTGTTCCCGCACGGCCACCTCTCACTGCGTCCCTGCACAGAGGCTCAGCAGCCCCACAGCCATGCCCTGAACTACACGCCACCCCCCCATCCCCTGGCAGCCCGAGGGGGTCTCTTTCTGTCCCTGGTCACTGCAGTGCTCCCAGGATCCGTGGAACCTTCACTCCCAAATGCAGAGCCCTGCGCGACCTGCTGCTGGCCTTCTGCCCCACCCGCACACCCCTGTGCCCCATGCAGACTGTTCCAGGTCCAGGAACACACGTGTCCCCATTTCCAACATCTTAGCTCGGGATTCCTGCGGGTTGGCATGTTTCCTTTTAAAGGAAAATGTCTGCCAACCTCCGGTACCTTGTTCTGGGAAGCCTCATCTAGAAGGGCAGCCAGCAGCAGCCCTCCTTGCTGGTTGGGAGGCCTCAGAAAGGGGAGACGTCCCCAGGATGCCAGGGCTGGGCCGCCCCACTGCCTGTTAGTGTCCCCACCCTCTAGCTGCAGTGGGCTATTTTATCTGGAGCCCTGCCCATCTTGCCCTTGCTTAGCAGGCCCTTCCAGCTTGTTCTTTGGGCCAGGTTCAGAAGCCCTGTCCCTCACAAGGCCGGCTGTCCCTGTCTCCTCTCCTCCCAGGCTCCCTGAGACTCTACTGTGGCACCAAAGCCTAGACAGCGGCAATGCTCTGGGCCCCTCGCCCCTATAAAGGCCAGCACCCCCTTCAGAGGTTAGGACGCCGGGCTTAAGACCCCTGCCCAAAGGCCCATGGGGCACTGAGAGGCACCACCAGGACTTGGACCAGTACCTCCGACTATAAACCCCTGTCCCGCTCCTGCCGCAGAGGCCTTGTGGAATGCAGAGCTGGGCTGCCCTGGGTTTCCAGGGCAGGCACTGGGGACCACGCACATCGAGTCTCTAGAGGCCCGGGCTCCAGTCGGTGCACGCTGAGGATTACACCGAAATGTGCTCTGAGGGCTCTGGCACGATGGGGACAGTGAGGGTCCCCTGGGTGGGCCGTGTGCCTCTCTCCTCAGTCACTCCTAGTTCCTGGGACACCCCACCCCCCACCCCAAGAGACTTGATCTTCCCTCCCTGATTGCCTGGAGTGGCTCAGACCCCCTTCAGATGACCCCAGTTGATATTTATCTTCCTGGTGATTTGTGAGGAGTTTCCAGAATTTATGAGGTCATCAGGGGTCAAGTGAGAGGTTGTAGGTCACAAGTCCATCAAGAGGCTAAAGGCAGATGAAAGGAAGAGCTGCTGACCGCCCACACGGCGTCCTGAGGCCTTACTTCCACGTCCGCCCGAGAGGAGCCAGCCCCGGACAGAGGGGAGGGAGCCGCAGACGGGGACACACGGCGGCCTCCCTTCCCCAAGGTGGCTCACCTGTGGGCCAGGACCAGCTCCATCTTGACCCTGGCCGCTGTAAGCACGGGTGTGGGGCAACTGAGATCTGACATACGCTTCAGAACATACACACCCCAGCAGCTACAACAAAGATTTTTTTAAAAAGTCTAAATTGAAATGAAACAACGAAATGGCACTGAGGGAAACCTGCATTGTGCTGGGCGCGCTGACCTCTGCTCTCAGCTGGATTTTCTCACTTCTTCAGATCACACTACTGGACTGATGCAGAGTGGGCCCAACTACCCAACAGCTGACCAAAGAAAGCACTCCAGTGCCAGGGTTCCTCCCAGGAAGCTTCCGGTTCGTGTGGAGAGTCGTGCCCTCCGCTCACTGAATTCCACAACAGCACTCATGCACACCTTGTACGGTGGCATGGGAGACCCAGCGGGCTGCTGGGCCGTCGAACGACTGGGGGACGGGGCTCGGGGTGGTGTGGCATTTCTGTGGTGTGAATGCTCCATCGAGGCTGACCCCAAGCTCCCAGGGGAGATCCCTGAAGGTGCAGTGGGGAAGAGGGGCACCATGGGCCCTTGTGAGCCGGCAAGAGCCCGCCTCACACAGAAAGTATGGCTCCCTTAGGTCACTGTGAAGTCAGGAGTCTGGCCTCCTGACTAGTGTGTGTCTCAGAGAAAATCACTTCTCTGGCAAGGTGGGAATGATCCTCTCTGCCTCACAGACAAGACAGGGCAGGTATTCTGACACTAGATTTTTCTATGGGGGTGCTGACTTCAGAAGGCTCGTGCCTTCTCCTGCAGATCTAGAGAAAGCATAGCTCCTCGTGGGGACCTTGGCTAGGACAGGCAGCCCCTCCTCAGAGGAGGCTTTCGGTCGAGGGGATCTCCTGGGCCACTGAGACATATGCAGCCTCTCATCAGGTCTTCTGAGAGACTTGCTGCCCTGAGGGGTCGGCTGGCAGGTGGTGGCCACAAAGCAGCCTCCCGGACCATCACCACTGGCTTTGTTAATGGTGGGCTGAGTCCGGCATCACCCTTCACTCCCTGCTTACTCCCCCAAGAGTTGTTCTGGCCTCTTCCCAGGTTTGTCTCCTGCCATCAAGTACTCGCACTCCACGGGCCTGCGATTCCACACGGCCTATTGAACACCCCCTGGGAGTGTTCCCCATCCACGCCCTTGCCTCTCTGGTCTTCCATAGACAAAATCCTGGGCCTGTCCCAAACTCCACCAGTTCCACGGGGCTTCCTGACTGCTCCCCATGTTGCCCCCATGCCACCACCCTGCGTTAATCTCCCAGGGCTGTCCTGTGGCTGGCCCAGGTGATCGATGCCACTCAAACAGATCTGTGCTTTCTTCCTAACCTGGGAAGAGCCCAAGGGCCCTTGTTTAATCTCAGGCTTAGATGTGATGGCAGATGAAGAAAGGGATGAAGAAAGGGAGATTGAATTTCCATTCCCAGCCAAAGGAACACAACTTACGAGAAGCCCTGCTAATCATCACTAACCATAAATTTGTCACTGGGGAGCTGATGTGGCCCTGAACTTTGGATGCTAAACAGAGCCTAATGCTTTAAAGAAGTCACTCAGCTTTCTCCCACACCATGGACTTGCCAGCAGGCAATCTTTCTTTCTGAGAATCTAGACTAATAATGAGCCAAGATGTTGTTTTGCTGGCAAAGGATAATTGGGGTGGGGGTGGGGGGCAGTAATCCAGTGTTCCAGTCCAAGTCGATCTGGAAGCAAGCAATGGAACCCCGGAGCTGGGAGGGTGGGCCCCAGGCCTCGAGTGTGTCCACTTCAGTGGTCTTAGCAACTGTGGGAGAGGTGGGCGAGGTCCCCCATCTTCCACCTAAAGACCTGAGTGAGGTCATGTGACTCACTGAAGTTCCCACCCAGGCTCCGGAGCACGGGGCCCTCTTTCTCCAGCCCAGGGCAGGGCCAGCACTGGGTCATCAGTGGAAAGGGCTTTGGGACCTCTTTACATTTCTGACAATTACAGAGAAGCCTGAAGATTTTCTGTTTAGGTGTTGACATGCTACAGTTACTGTTTACTATAATAGATATTAAATGGGGAAGTTTATATTTAATAACTTATAACAATAGAAATTAAAAATGTTACATGTTGACATTAATATTTTTTTAATTAAAAGCTATATTTTTCAAAACAAGGGGAGAGTTGGCTGAGAGGAGAGTCCTTGCAGAGGAGAATGGGGCAGGGGTGGGTGCTGATTCTTGACCCTGCTGTTTGAATCCCTGGGGGTGCCGCTGGGCCTGAAGCCATGCCCCCCCATTCTCCAGGCACTTGTCACTTCTTGTCTCCACTGGGTTAAGGGGTGCCTGCCGCAGACTGGATGCTACAGGAAGTGGTCAACCCGTGGTGGCGCTCTGGAAGGCCAAATGCCGCCATGTCCCTCCTCCAGGAAGCCTTCCTAAGTCCCCAGGCCGGTCAACGGCCTTCTGGACGCCCATGCTGCCCTCACTTGTGGTACTGATATGGTGGCCATGTTTCTGCTCCCTGGTCTTCCTGTGACTCTCTGACCAGCCCCTGAGGGCAGGCTGAGCTCTGAGCCTCTCAGTCCCCTTGCTGTCCAGATAGGTCCTGCCTGGGACGGGATGGAATAACCTTTCCCCTCTTCCTCGAGGGTCTGGGACACAGGTCTGGGCCTCACAGCCCAGTAGCCACACAGGCAGCCTCATGTGAGACTGGAGTCCTCTCAGCCTGAGTGCTTCTGGAGGTACCTCCTCCCTGAGCTGGAGGCCATCGGGCCTCACCATCACATTGGCAACCATCCCAAAGATGGCTGAACCGCGCAGCCTGCGGGGCCGGAACAATATAGTTTGCTCTGCGCTGGTAATTCAGCTCTTCACCGGCTACAGACACAGGAGCTGCATTATCTTCCCCTTGGCTCCGGGCCATGCTCCGGGCCACGAGATGTGTGGCGTGACTGGCAGAGCCGCCGATGGTCAGGGCTGGATGGATCCTTGCAGCCTGTCTTGTCCATCCATCTTACAGATGGGGAAAATGAGGCCCCAAGATGGCACGTGTCTGTCTCAGATCATATGGCAGGACTAGAACCCAGGCTGCTGGCTTCCTGGCCACACTGTCCCACCCTGGGGTCACCGT